CAGTACTCATGGTACAAAGAGTAAATGCAGCCAGGTCTGTTTCCACAGTTACAGTCCAGCAATTTTCGCTGTGAAATATTGCCAGATGACATGGAATATGCTTATCTTGCTGAATGGTTAAAGGTGCTTTGGAGTACTTAATTTTGATCACAACCTGTACACTTCCTGTATGCCTGACAAACATCTATAGCTCTTCAGCTTTCTTTGGTGTAAGATGTGTAACACTTTTTCAGAGTGTGTGCATATTTTGTGTACTGTTACTGTAGTATTTAACGTGGTTTATGGGTGAGTGTGTGAGACCCAAAACAGCTGTCCTGAGTTTCAACTACTTGTATGTGTAGTTATACATACTTAGATGAAGGTTTTCTCAGTATATTTTGCTGGAGCAAAAGTCATCATTTAATATAACCACTTATTTCACTTCTTGTCATGGCAGATCAATACATTTAGAAGAAAAATAAAGCACTGTGCTTTTAATTTCTTGAGAGCTTGATATGAATAGTAGATGTTGCTGTCCCCATCCAGAGGATGCTAAAATAAAATATACGCAGTAATCCTGGCGTTCTGAGAATTAAGGACTCCTTTTGTCAACAGGCTTCAAACTCTGTTTCCCTCTGGTCTGGTAGATCTTTGCATTTCTAGTTGCAAAGAAACACAGCTTCAGTGAGAAGAATAAAAATTACTGCATCCAAAGGGGTTTTTTTTAGGCACTAGTCATCAGCCTGCCTTTTCTTTGGAAAAGTGGGTTAAGATGGAGTAAAAAACCTGTCAGAATTGGGAGGCATAAGTAACCTACTTACTGTTATGTGAAAACATAGATGGCTGCACTACTGTTTCTAATAAATTGGAGGGAATATGTGCACCCTGTTATTGCTTTGGTTTCTAAATAAGACACTACTAAGCATTGGTTCCTATACAGACTTAGATCTTGCTGAAATTTGTGGCATAATGGAAGTTCTCATTGAAATCCTGAAGCTTTTTATTGTCTCAGAAGTGCTTTCTGATACTTAAGCTCCTCAATGAAATCTCCCTAATTGGACAGGTATTCTAAATATTGTTTGTTGTTTGAAAACCAAGCAGCCTGCTCAGGATTGTGTGTAGAATCAGCATTAATCACACCAATTTCTTGGAAGGAATACTATTTAAATTAGTTGAAATTTGATTTAATAATCTTGATTAAATTATTTTCCTGGTTACTGCTTTTTTTCCTTTTGTAAACTATCTTTATTTAGCTGTAGATACAAATACAAACGGTTGACTCTCACTCGGATGTTTAGATGACTTTTTCCTGGTTGAAAAATATTCACCCGCCCCATTACCTCCTTGAGCACTAGTATATCCATAAAAAGAAATATTTTTTTCTTTGCTGATTCTTGTCTGGTTTTGGAGCTTTTCCAAGGAGAATCACTTACGCTGTTGAGGGTGTGGAAGAATGTTGAGGACTCCATGTTAATATTCAAAGTGTACTACTATGGAGTTCTTAACTGCTACTTGATTCTAGTTTCCTTAGTGTTGCAACTGAACTACAGATATTGTATATGTATTGTTAATTAATTTTGATTGGATCAAGCAAGAAGTTTTTGGAAATGTAGAAGTACGTAATGGACTGGAACAACTCTGATGACTAGATGCGAAGTATGGATATGTTGAGTGTATGTGACACTTGCAGCTTGAGATAAATGAGTATTTTAGCTAGCATGTAACCTTTCTCTTTTTTGTGATCTGTTCGCTATTTACCTTTTGGTAGTCAGCTCTTCTTAGAATAGGTGCACTGATGGACAATTTCATTGACTACAATTTTACTGAGAACTTTCTCTCATATACTATGCTCCTAAGAAGGCTTCAGTTTTGTGAGGAACTAAGATCAAGTTCAATCTAAGTTCAGCATTGCCTAAGCCTCACACTTTTTGCATATTAGGCCTACTTCTTTGATTAATTTTGAAGCAGATCTTTGTGCTGATATGCTGGGCATTCATGGGTCTCGCTGTGGCTCCCTTGATCCTGTGTCTGTTCCTGCTTCCACTACCCTAGTATCTGCTATCTCAGGTAGTCAGTGTGATAGTCAGGGCTCTGAGGAGTTTTCCAGGTATAATCTAAATGCAAGGCAAGTTCGCTCTACCTTTCCGCTCTACCTTTCCTCTCTTCCCTCCAAGAAGAAAAACCTCCTCTTACATGTGGGTTGATGGAATAATCCCCCTTCAAGGCGTTTTGTAATGGATTTGAAGTAGATGGTGTGCAAATATTTAAATGTGTGTTCGTGTCTTGATTTGTGTGGTTTTGTTTTTTTTTTTAAAAAGAAGCCTTTCTTACTTGAGGAAGTCAGGACTATTGAATTAGACTTGCTCAATCTTCAGAAGATTAAAGTTAGGATTGTGCCTGCAACTTCATCTCTTATATCTCCAGACTTAGATTCATTTGTATCGCATGAATACATTTTTAACACTTAAATAAATCCTGAATACTTTCAAACTGTTCTTGCTGCACATATTCCTTCTAGATTGTGTACTGTGGGATACTAGTTATGGTTGTCTGTTGGAATTGGAGGGTGGTTGTGGGTGCAGTTGAAGTAGAGATACCATTTTCTGCAAGTGTGGTAAATAAAAGGAAACTGCCTTTTTTCTCTCTTAAAAAAAAAATCAGTACTAAAGAACAGACTTTTACTCTCTTTAGATCAGTGGCAGAGGCTCTTGGTGACTTGCATCCTTCTTTAAGCAGTTTATGATGAGAGGTCTGTAGTTACCTCTGTAAATCTGCAGAGAGTAATGGTTATATATGCACTTGTCATCTCTATGTGGAAGTGTTTTAATGAGTTCTTATTAGGGATACTTTGAAAATACATTGGGAGACTCTAGGGAGAAACAACACTTATCTTTTCTGAAAGATGATAGGTGACTCTGAACACATGTGGCCTGAAGAGTAGTGCTTTCATTTATCACTGCTTACTTGTATTTTACTATCTCTTAAGTATAAAACTGTCCTGGAGTCTTTAGTCATTACTGTTGAAGATTAAGCATCCTGTCCAGAATCTGAGCTTTCCCAGTTACCCAGTGTAATCTGCTCAAATTCCATGAAACAGTGTAGTGACCTTCAGAGCAGGAACTAAGATCTGTGCTGTATTTTTGGTTTAGCATTTGGCTTGTGGTTTTTTCTTTTTTAAGATCCAGTCTAATTTTGCATTAAATATCTAACCAGCCCAATATTTAATGAGCCCAAGTATCAGCTTGTTGAGACTTTGAGTGGATGCAAATTTGAGAGTGAGTGTCACTGCCTAGTTAGTCAACTATTTATTTTTAATGTGTTGTCTTTTTTACATAAGCACTGTTCTTAAAGTATTAAATTACTGAGCTAGTGTGTATGATCTGTCAGTTAGGTTGGGTTTTTCTTTTTCACTGGGAGGGTATTACTGAACTTAAAGGGGTTTATCAACAGAACACAAGGTATTGACATCTATGTAAAAAATTTAATTCTCTGTTGATAAACCAGTAGGGGGCATTCCAGCTCAGTTTCTTGTATGCCTCTCTGCATTTTACGAAGGGTGTGTTGGATTTGTTGGCAAAGTGCATGTCTGTTTAAAAGGGTTTTTTGTAAATATCTGCAGTTCATTCAAATTGGCGGGATAATGCCAGAAAACATTAGGCTTACTATTAAAAGACTCTTTGACATCAAAGAGGAAGAGCCTTCGTTTTGCCATGCTTACATTAATTATATATGCTGATCAATACAGAACATGGGTATTGTATTGTCTGTGCTTCTTTAAAACATACTCAATACAATTGTGCTGAAAACTTAGAAGTCACTTTAAGAACAAATGAAAAAGATGCAGATTTGTTCCAGAATCTTACGAATTTGTGGCTTCTGAAAAGGAGGCTGCTTTTGCTTTTATGATTACAGTTTAAAGCAGTGATTTTACAGAGCCTTTAGATTAACCTGTTCTGTATATTCACTTGAGGGTCTTAAGCATACTTCAGCATCAGGCTAGTGAAGTATTTGTGATAAGGGAGGTCTGACCTCTTTTCTCAGAGTACGTTGTAGCCATATTTTGCTTTAGCCTACTATTGTAGTCATGATGACTTCATTCTCCCAGCAGTGGTTCAGCTGGTATACCAATAGTTGGTAAGCATGCATCTTAGTTATACCAGTGGAGGCTCTGTTATAATTTTAAAGTTTAAGTTAATGAATTGTGTTATTCATTGACCTAAATTTCTGTGCACTTTAATTTTCATTAAATCTTGTCATAATTATAGGTCACCTAGCTGACTTAAATGTGGTTGTTTCAAAATGAAAGAGAATTATAAATGATTGGGCTGTGGTGAACTTTTTTGTATGGTAAACTAGTCAGAAAATAGGTTAGCAAATAGTGTAGAAAATACTAAGGTAGAAAAGGCATGAAAAAACTTTCTCATCCTGAGAGTATCTCACTGACTTAAGCTTAAGTGGGGTTTCAGTTAATTTTACTTTAAAATCTGAAACACTGGATTGAGAGGTTTGGTTTTGAGCATCCATGTTTATACTGTAAAGGTGTTTGTTCTCATTAGGTACAATGAAGCAAATCTTCCATATAATTGCATTAGTGATACGTGACATTAAAGCTTAATTGGCTTATTTTAAATATCTTGCACATCAATTTCTTTTAGATTGTGAAAATTGAAAAGGTCATGAGTGCAGTTTAATATTCCAGGGTGAGAGATTTCAATTTTAGTACAATTTGTAGAGAATTAATTAGGAAACATCACTAAAAGAAAAAGGATGTTGAATGCAAATTAGGCTGTTCATTAGAGTATAGAAGCTGAAGCATCTTGAAGTATTGTGGAAATTCGATTGCAAATCCAGCAAGGATTGATTTTTTTTAATTATTTTTATTTTTTAAAGTAGAAGTTCTCGTAATTGTTCTTCAGGGTATAGACTTAATAGACAATTATATTTTGTCATAAGACACTCTAAAATAAAATGTGCTGCCTTTACCACAGACTCCTCTTTTAACTAATGTTTTTGTTTTGCAGGAGATTGATGAAGCATGCAAAAGGATAAAACGTGAAATTGATGATTTAGGCCCTGAAGTTGGTGACATCAAAATCATTCCATTGTATTCCACCCTTCCTCCGCAGCAACAGCAAAGGATTTTTGAACCTCCGCCACCAAAAAAACAAAATGGAGCAATAGGAAGAAAGGTAAAGTACGCTGTTGTAGTGTGCTGTTTGGTAACTAGCTGTTCACAGTTGTGTGGGCAATTAAATATGAGCTTCAGCTGTTTTAAGTGTATTTGGACAGCTGCAAGTAAAAGGTTTTTTGATGAAGCCTTAATCCAATATTTTTCACATTAAAATTTTTAGGTGACTCAGAGTTTGTTTCTCAGTGCAATTCATAGAATCATAGAATGGTTTGGG